GCGGGATCGCGGGTGCCGATCCCTCGGCCGCCAGGAGAGCGGCTGCCGCCAGCCCTGCCTCCCCCGGCCGGGATTGAGAGTTTATTCACGCACTAATCAAAGTGACATGATGGTCGTGGCAGACTAAAGCCATTCACTCCCCGAGCTGGCGAGGTCGGGAGGTCGCCCAAGTTCACAAGAATGGGGCTTTTGTGATGCAGATCGGCAGAGAGCGGCCAGACGAGCGTGGCAGGGTCCCCCCACGGTGACGGTGAGCGGGGCCCATGTGCCGGCACGGACCCGAGTGGGGGTCCCGTGTCCCCCCCCCGGGGCAGCTCGGGAGGGACCCGGGCTCTGCCCTGCCAGGGCCCGGCACGGTGCGGGTGCTGCGGGTCTGTGTTCTGCAGCACGAGGGAGGAGAGCTTGAGGAACCATGTGGGGCACGAGTGTCCTGGCCCTTGGGCAGCCGCCCAGCACCCCTGCCCAGGGTGTGTCTGGAGTCTTTGAGTCTCCCCTCGCACGCTGCTGCTCCTGTGTCAGCTCGGTCCCGGCGGTTCCTGCAGCCCCGGGATGTGCCTGGCCGATTCTCCTTCCAGCCCGAGCCCCCCAGCGTGTCCGTGGCATCAGCTGAGCTGCCAGAGCTGAGAAACCCCGAGCTGTGCTCCAAACCTGGAGCTGCTGCTTGTGGCTGGGCAGGAGGATGGAGGTCTCGCTCCTGAGATGAGAATCTGCCTTCCTGCACCGGCCTTTGAGCATCCCCTCCATCCACACCCTCCTCTCCCTCTGCCTCATGCACAGCCTGTGCAGGGCCATTTGGGAGCTTTACAGATGTGACGACAATTTTGCACCTCTAAAACCCCCAACAGCAAACCCCCAACCCAATTTTTATAATTGGCTCTTGACCAAAATGAGAGTTTCTTTGAGGGTGTTTCAAACAAAACGCGCTGATGGAAGGGGCACCCTGAGCCACAAAAGGGCTTGGCTTTGATCCTTTCTGCTTTTATTGTCAGTGGAGGTAAAATAAATGGTTTAAAAATTAAATTGGTGCAAGGGTTTTTTTTAAATTTAAGCAATGCTTTCACGGCAGATTTGAGGCAGCGACTGTGCTCAGGCACCTCTGTGGGCACTGGCATAAGCAATGAGGAGTGAGGTCAGTTTAGGGTTGAGGACTGCTCTGGCTAAAAACAAAAGCTAATCAATTTGAGCAAAACTGATTCCTTTTTGTTGGAATGGAAAGCCTTGAGAGGAATTATCCAACAAAATTAAATCCTCGGGGTGGGGGGTGGGGATGGAATGGGACATGACGACACTGGAGGAGAATTTGTTAAAAAACACAAGCGAACTCCGCAAGAAACAGAGAGGTTTTCCCTTTCTGGAAGTGAAAGCTCAGGTTATAACCCCAAAGTGCTGAGTTTGGACTAACACAGTTGGACTTCTGACTTGTTGGTGTGAACGTGGAATGTCCTGGGGCTCACTGGGTCTTTGCTGTGGTGGAACGAGGGCTAGGTTGTGCAGGGCAGGCTGAAGGTCTCTGCTGGCCTCCCTGATAGAGAGATACAGGCAGTGGCAGGGCATGAAATCTGCTTGAATTGGTGACTCCCAGCTCGCGCCGGCCGATGTGCCTGAAATGACTAAATTACCTCTGCCCTGCCCGAGGTTCCCCTGGACTGGGGAGGGTGGGCAAAGCTGCTCTGCACAGCTCGGAGAGGCTTTGGAGCCAGGGCCTTGCCTGTGTTGAGGGGGTGAGCTTGCTCAGCAGTTGGGGAAAATCAAGTTTATTCCCCTTCAAATCGTGCCTCACATATCATTTCATCTATATTTGAGGTGTATTCCGTGGCATTTTTGCTGCTGTTCAAGCTGGAAAGTTCTTGTTCAGCCTGGTTCTGTAAGGACAAGGATGTGTGTGCCCAAACATGTCTCTGCCTCCCAAAAACCCCTGTCGGGACCCACTGGCTGCAACTCCATCTCTGTCCCATGGCAGAATGCAGCACTGGGGAGGAACGATGGAGAAGAGCAGGCTGGAGGGACAGGGAGGGATGTACTCCCACATTTTCCTCATATCTGCTTTTAAAGATGATTCCGAGGAGCCTTTTGGTGCCTCCTTGGTAGCATTTGGGGAGCTGGAGCACGAGGAGGCCGGATGGTGAGAGCTGGTGGGGTGAAGCGATCCTTCCCAGGGCTGGGCCGTGCCTGGGGAGGGGGAACACAACCGCAAATACAAAATGAACCGGAGAGGGACCATCTCCCTCGGACAGAGAAAGCAAAGGCAGAGGCACAAAGG